AAAAGTCTGACCCACAAGGAAGTGGGGCGTAAATCCAACGCGGGAGCGTGAACGAAACACCCGTGTGGGAGCTTCTGGAGGCCTGTCACGCAAGGCCTTTGAATTTCGGTTAAGTTTGTTGTTCGCTGGTGCGTTGATTATCGGTCTGCTTTTCGGGATCAGCCCTCAGCCTCATGCACCCAATGAGACAAGCGGAACGTGGACGGGACAGCACCTTATTGGCTGGGGGCTGCCCAGCTTAGCCAGGCGGTAGCTGTCCAATGAAGTGCGAAGACTTCTCCCACCGTCGAGAGGAAGCCTCAGGTACCCCGCTCCTACGTTCATCTAGCGGGGTTTTTTTGACCGGTAAACTGCCCCTCACCGTGTTTATTCGCTGGAGTGATCTCTCCAGGGGCGGATGTGGATAGGGGAAGGAAGCCAGGAGGTGCCCAAGCAGCTGGCCTTGTGAGACGGGTCTTCGTCTGGCCTCTACCCGTTGACTTTTCAGGCATGATTGGATCTCCGGCTGTGAAAAGCCATCGTGTGTAGCTCGCAGGGTCACTGAGACGCGCAAGCCATCACACCACGTCAAGGTGCGGTCTCGTCCTGATGGGTTTGAACATTTACTGGCACCGAGCTTTAAACTCATGTTACCGACTATTCATCTTGGTTGGATTCCTCTGAATTACCTGAAAGTCAGATCAGCTCGGCATCATTAGTGAACACGAAACATACATTCTCCAGCCCATCAATCACGTACTTGATATACAGTATGAACAGGAATAGACTCAGCAGCGATTCATGTGGGACTCCACTGCAAATTTACGCTTTAGCGGAAGAAATTGTCGGAGAATTCTATTTCAGTCTTCACCCAGAAACTTTGACCATTTTGCCAACTGTTTATTCAGTTTTAATTTAGTTTTCAACCGGAATAATTGAGGTTCTGAATCCCCAATCTATGCCTAACGGAGTAAAAGGTCCTTTAAAAGTCTAAGTAACAAACTAGTCTGGGAAAGCTTCTACCTTATCTACTCGCTATATACTTTGCGTAAGCTAGTCAAAGAAATACAACAGTCCTCAGTATTGAGGGCAGAGGGCGGGATACCCGTGTAAACCCCGTCACCACTGGGTCGATGGTTCGATCACACGTGGTCGTTCCCCCATAGCCCCTTAAGGTGCTCATCCAAACGCCGTTTGAAAGCAGCGTCGGTGTCCTTCACCACAACATTCTGGAATTCCCTTCAAGCGACGTCGCTGGAAGGGAATTCCAGATAGATGTTGGCCTCTGTGAGAGTCAGTAGACTGACGAAAGACCAACTGACCAAGGTTTATGCAGTGTGACAGAGTACCCCCGAGTGCGGTCCTATGTCCGTAAAAGGAAATGTTGCCCATATAACCCCTCAGAATCTTCCTCAAACAGATGAGATCTCCAACAAGGCACCAATACGCAACTGCCTAGATAGCACAAGAGGAAACTCGCTTAAAAATACTATGAATCCTCCTGGTACGGCGTTTTTACTTTCGGAATACATGAAGTTGTTCAGAATAACCATTTTAATTCCTCAAAAGGAGACGCCTTAGCAGTGATCTAATAGAAGCCTTTAAGAGTATAAAAGGCATAACTGATACGGGTGCTCCACTTTCCATTGACAACATAAGATTACGTGAGCACTGTTTGCAAATGGTAAAAGAGCGTTTAAGGCTGGAATTTCGAGCACAGTTTCTAATAAACCATGTGGTGAACAGCTCCCAGAAGCAGTGATCACAGCAANNNNCAGCAACGTGATAAGCTTCAAGCACAAACTGGATGACTGCAGGTTGACTGTTTTCACTGATTTGGAGGTAAGCCATAGGCCAACCTGTGAGCCCATGTGAATGATAGTTTCATACCTTGTTAGTCTTCCTTCTCCTTTTTCCTATTACCCTTTTCCTTCATAACAAATTACTCTTATTTTCTACCATTTATGAAGTCCAATTCTTTCTCCAATTCTTCTCCAAATTCTCATTTACACCGTTTACTTACCCGCCGATAGAGCCTGCCTAGTTTGAATTTCTCGCATAAAAAACCGGTGCAGACGATGACTCATTACTGACTTGGAGCCCACTGATATTACCGACTGAACACTCCAACATCTGGTTTACATCTCAGTCTGACCGTCATCCAGAAACCTGTTGAGAAGAACCAAGGACTTCTCCGGCAGTCGAAGCAAAGTGGGATCGCGTCAGAGCTCACACGTTCAAGAAACTGAACCTATTGGAAACAGCCGCAAGTCCTTTGTACTCGACATGACCTGCTTCAATCAATTAACGACAATTTAGTCCAAAAATTGATGTTCCGTAACTCCAATTTTTGGACTAAATTGTTGCTATTTCATAAAATGCATGCATTCAAATAATTATTCTGAGCAACTTCATGAATTCTGACGATAAAACCACGCTACGGGATGATTTATGGCATTTTTAGGCGATTGTCCCCATGGGAACACTCAAAGGAAATCTGAGTCTCCTTGCACTGCCTGGGTGGTAACAGACAGGTTGCCTGTAGACGACCTTCACAGTTGGTCCTGCATAGTCCATCAAGTTGGCTAAGTGCGTAAACGCACTTCTGGCAATTTTCAAGGGGTTATTTTTTTCCAAGCGACCACTTAAGCAATCGTCATATTTTATATCGAGAAAATATCATCAAGTCTTTACTTGAAACCTGTTTTGAATAAATTAATATATTGGAGAACCCATTTGAATGCAGGTCCCGCTTTTTGCTTACCACAAGAAGCGACTATCAACTAAAAACGCGCGACAATTGTTGCCACACAGTTGTCAAGATAATGGTTGACTTAAACAAAATCTATTAAATCACAAAAGGGTGGCTCTTTCAGGATTTCCTGTAGAAATAGAACCATAGGTGATGTTTTCCGAAACGTTATTTTCTTGCGCTGCTTTCAAATGGCGAAAGTTGTTATCGCGGGTAAATGACCGTATCTTGTCACCGTTTATTTCATATCTAATTTGTGTTTTGTGTAGTTCGGTGCAGTTTGACAACTAACAGAATCATTTTTCTTCATTCAACTAATTAAATGCAAAAGGCGTTACTTTTGTATGCGCAACAGTGAGGGATAAATGTATTTGCCGTGATCACGGTAATTAATTAAGTGATAATTGTCATGTCAGCCGATTTGTCGGAGGAATTTACGGATTGAGAGTGTTATAATGGCATATTACGATAGGTTCCTTTTTTATGTTGTCATGAGCGAAGTACTTGATTGACGCTCTAACACAATAGTGTGTAAAGGGAGGCATAATATGCATAATATGGTTAAATGAATCGCAGATAACGTCGGGTTGCAACAGGGTCTTGCGCGTTTTCTTATGATTCACCCGAAATTCCTTTTTGATTTACTTGGAATTCAGTTACTGCTCACCAGTTCATATTTTAGGGACCTGTTTTACTCTTATTGCTCCACTCCCATTTCATCGAAGATAAAGCCATTCGAATATAAACTTAATTAATGACTAATCTGTACACAGAGTAGATCTACTCTGTGGTACGTCGACGGACTATAGTACGTCTTAATAATCGAACCCCTTTCCCTTCTTAAACGCAAATAAAACTCTTGGAATATATATCTGTTGCATGTTTGTTAAGTATATAGTCAATTTTGGTTTTTTAGTGCATATAATCCTTCCAGAAGCACTTTGGGTTACTATTTAGGAAAACTGCGATTTATAAAGCGAAATTCCAGCGACAAAACGCGCTGATGTGTTGGCAGGGTCCCCAACATATTTTTAGCTGGTAAAACCGGTCTGTCTATCAACCTCGTCAGGTTGCACAGGACGGCTTTCGCCAGCTGAGTGTCCAGATTCTTGCTCCAGCCGGAACCAACCTTCTTCCTGAACTTTGAATTCTTGTCGACTGTTTGACCACGCTATTTCTTCGTCCAGAACTGCCTCCCTTTTTGAGTCCGTATCTTCAAAGTGATTGTGTTCGAAAACAAAATGTATGGAACACCTACTGTCAACAGTAGGCACCCTACGAATTCTCTGAATAGAGACTGATTCAGACCCCATCTAGTTGGAACTTATCGACTGTCCTACAGTCCTGCAGTGAAAGTGGTAGTTGGTTCCGCTCATCTAGCTTTCTACTCGTCAAGAAGTTGTATCTAAGGTTGAGTTGGCTCCTGGGATTCATCAGCTCCAAATCATGTCCCATTGTTGACTCGAGCGGTGCTCGCGTTAATAGGCTGTCCGCCTCTAGCCCTGTCAGCCCCTTCATTGTTTTGAAAGCCTCGATGAAGTCGCCTATCAGGAATCGCCTCTCCACTGGAAAAAGCCCTAGGGCTTCCAACCTCATAATTTGCTCCTCATTCCCACGATCATCCTAACCGTTGCACCTTCTCAATGCGCCAAAGCTTGTGTGCAGTTTTCTGACTGCGGTCTAATTATAGCCTTATAAAGAGGCACGAAAACCTCTGTCTTCTTCGTTGATAGAGCCGCCTTATACTGGAATATTTACCCCCTCGCTTTTGGTGCGGCGGCCAGGCATTGATCACTGGGCTTGAAGTCCTCGCAAACAGGAAGCCGAAAGCCCTAGTTTTTAGAACATGACACTTGGTAGCGTTTTAGCTCCAAGTCTCACTTCTGTATCCACCGGACAAACTTTACCAGATCAGCTTCTAGTTGTTCTACTAGTCATAGTTTTACGTCATCTGCAAATATAAAGTCAGGAACCGCTAGGCAACGGATCTGGTGAGGTTGATTAGTTATTGACGTGTGAGGTAACAGTATTTATAAATGCGATATTACTATAGGTTAGCCGGCAGGTTCATGTCGTTGCATGAAGCTTATTTGGCGTGATATTTTGTTTAAATTATGTGATTCGTGAGAATCACATGCTCGGGTGACTGTCCATTGACGCTCAAGTGACCCAAAAATGAGTGTTTACGTGACTAAATGTGTCGCACTTGGGGTTGCACAGGACTGAGGGAGGAGTTTAGGTGACAGGGTACTGGGAATGTAGTTGTTCTTCAATCGACAGCTTCACAACGGTAGTTTTCTTTTCTTGTTTCTTGCTTTTCCCTAAGTTTCTTGGTAGGTCCGTTTACGCCTGACCTTATCATCAACTCACGGACCAGAAACGCCTTCGCCCAACGCTGTTGTGACTAGCCGCAGGACATGTTCATTTTTAAACCATGCCTGTGTATTTGAAGACTATCAGGACATGGTTACATATCCATGGCATACTTATCAGGACCAACAAGGTTCAGGTATCAAGTTGCAACTGAGCCCTTTGATCACGCATAATTATTACAATACCTAGACCAAATTTATTCTTATCCTTCTAAGATAAGGAGCCTTTCTTCTCAATCTGTCAGAATAAAGAGGTTTAGCATACATCGCCATTATCTGGTGATAGTGATCTTCCAGGGCAAATTTCTTTACTAGATATTGCAGCTTGAGCACTTCCAGAATTAAGTTTTGCTTTTCCTGTTATCGTGCTTTTAATGAGCTCGAAAAGACCGCACCGGTACAATTCTCCACGGTGAGCTCTGTACCGCACGTTTACTCTGCTCTGATCAGATCTACTTTTAGATTTCCGCTGCCGTTGCTAAAATAATAACCTAAGCTAGCAGTAACTCATTTCCAATATTTCAAAAGTATCAGGATACCAAATTTCTACAATCCAAAATCCGGATTCTATTCCTCCTGGAACGGATATCGGGAAAGAACGTGAGCGAACATTAGTGGAAGGTTCTGACAGACATTAGCAACCACCTAGCCACTAAAGGATCCCCGGGCCAATCTCAATGGATATCCACGGTATCCATTGCCAAAGACTTGGATTTTCTTCAATGTTTTGGACTTCAAACTAGTGTCTAGAGGCAGTACGGTGGGCCTGAAGAGTCATACATCGCTAAAAAGAGCAATGAGCTCAAGAAACCCCAAATTCTTGCTACCTCTCTACAAGGCTTAAGCGCGACTGTATCTCGAGTACTGTGTACATTTCTGAATTCCGTTGTCTATCCAGTAAATGAAGACACTAAAATTAGTCCAACGCAGCTCAACCAAATGATGTGCGAGATTAAGACAACCTTAATACAAGAAGCGTCCTGAAGCTCTGGATCTCTTCTCGATGAGGTGTAGGTGGCGCGGCGACTTGATTGAGGCTTATAAAATATTGAAAGGCTTCGGAGGCGTGCTAGAGGGGACGTTGCTTCAGCTCAGCAAGGCAAAATACCTAATTAGTCGTGCTTTAAAGCTGGTTAAGGGTAGAGTGAGTACCCACCCGAGAACGTCGTTCTTTGCAGCCAGAATAGTGAATGATTGGAACAAGCTGACAGAAGTAAGTACTTCCGACTTGAAAATAGACCTCAAGCGCCTGTTTGACCCTATGTGTACTAGGGTGTTTGACTGATGGGATTGATTTTTTGAACAGTTTAGATGCAACTGACTACGGGGACCGACAACCATTGACTACAACACTGCATATATATATATATCAAATATGACGAGGCTACTGAAATTTTCACAATTTTAACAGATTCCTTTATTCTCTACGGCTCCTGCCTCGGTCTACTCCAAACTCTTGATTCTTCTGTTCATATTACTTTCCGTATAACAGTTACTTAATTTATTTACCCTGCAATCCTCGATCTTAATGGATGGTCTGGCTACTTCATGTGTCTGCAAACAGCAACATAATTCTTTGCAGCCTAGAGACCTGCGGTTGAGGGCCCTTCATTGTCATTGTATGCTGTTAGTTTAATAGAAGGAGGGTATTTCTCTTCCTGTCGTCGAAGCAGCAAGGAAGCTCATCAGTACAAAAGCTAAAGAAATTGACCCGCCACCTCTACGTTCTGTAACGGATTTCACCTAACCTGATAGGCGTGACGGCAAATCGAGCGTCAGGATTTCATTCGGTGGTGTGTCCACGAGTGTCCATATACCTAAGCTACTGATCGGTTTCTCCTTCTTTCTGTAAATACAAAAAAGGAGAGACTATTTTTACCGTATCGCGGAGAGACTTTTGACACTTTGGCGTTCCGCATTTTTCAAAACAAATTTAGCTTTTAATAGTTTATGCTTAGGAAAACCTTAAGCCACCATTCATCCAAGTGTCTTTTATTTCTGTCAGTAGCTTATTACATCTTTTCACTATCCTGCTAGAGAGGATTATGCCAGCAAGTTAAGTCTAGATCGCTGTTTCCTGAGGTTGAGTTCATGAACACCTGTATCTCGATGAGGAACTAACCCTCCTCTTTTCCAGTAATGAAAAGCCGTGCGCGCATGATTTTTCTTTGTAACAGTTATCTTGAACACCATCAACCATTTCTATGGTTAATCTCGGAACCTTCTCCAGGCAAGCCGCGTCCTTGTAGAAGGGCTACCAAGTCTGAAAAATATTCGAAATGAAGTTTTTTAATGACCCTGTAATTACACACAAACAATTCTACTTCCTTACGCAAAAGCGCAGACCCTATTCGAAATGGTTCACATCCCAACTTGGAAGGTTGGGATCCGGAAGACTCCACAACTGGTTGGTTGGAGACCTTGAAGGATATGGCAGTGAACCGACAGCAGTGACGTTATTGTTGTCATTTCGTATCAGGCCAGAATGCTTGAAACGGTATGTACGTAGTTTGATTGTGCACTGTATTGATCATAAAGGTTCACCTTTCCCCTTCCTCCAAGTAGGTCCAATCCCTGTGCATCTTAAATTTTATTATCAAACTTGAATGCATTGCGAGTTTGGCAGCGGTCAGTGAAGTTCGCTTCATGGTATTTCTCTGTACGATGATGATGATCATGTTCCTGTCCAGTACAAACTTCGGACACAGCTCTCCACAGACAGCAACGTGGCACTCCAATTCAACTGGTACGCTAAATCAGATCGCGGTCGTCCACTAGAGGAAGTGATCGACCTCCATAGATTACGCTGGTTGGGACATGTGCTACGCATGTCACCAGATAGGTTGCCACGGCGAGCGATGTTCGCCGAGGCAGGTGGTGGATGGAAAAAACGAAGGGCGGTCAAGCTAAGACCTGACATGAGGGTATGAAAACCCTAACCAGGAGACTAGGTCACATAGGCCCCGTTAGGCTCCCTGGCTGGGGACCTCGGGATGATGGTCATCGATGGTTAGAGACACTGAGTGATATGGCTGGGTGTCGCAAACAGTGGCGCTCGTGCATCCACTCGTTATTTTCCTAACCCCACTCTATATGTATTCCCCATCTCCTGCTTGAATTTGCTTCGACATCCCAATCTTCACTTCGCTCTTTTATCCAAATGGGCAACCGAAACCGGCGCACGAAAGTGCATGGTTAATGGTTGTAAAACTGAAACTGGAGGGCAATTTCAAACAGAATGTCACACTAAACTTTATCCCCACCTAAGTGGGGTCCTGGAGTACCGCTTCATTGTAGTGGTTTTTGGATTAATTTAACGTTTTCAATAACAACAATCAATATTCAAGCAAGCCGAAATGTATTAAATATACTGGTACTCAACCTTACACTTATCATGGACACAGTGATCATCTCTGGTTGTCTCATCCGTTCGATTTGGTTGTCGTTTCTTCATACATAATCGAAACTGTAATGATCTATATCAGCTACCAGTTCCGCGGATAAGTAAATAATTACGCTTGCGATAATTCCCGATTGTTTTTTGTCTTTGTAAACGAATCATATAAAGCAGCAACCAACGTAATCTCCATTAACGATCCCTCTTTTAGGCACTTGCGATTGTCCTTATTTCGCTCGTATAGAGCTGTTGGCCGACAAACTAGCTCAGAACTTGCCCCATTTCAATGTGACAAAAGTTGTGAAACAGCCGCACGAATGGAAGGTAAGTGAGGTTTTGATAATCACTGTCCACTTTTCGATGCTTCTTAGGACTTTACGGAATGGATAGCCAAAGAGCATGGATGGGATGTAACCAAATCACCCGTTGTCTGGCGGGAGTTATTAGATCAGGGCGGTCCAGGAACGCTGATCGGAGGTTCAAATGAGTTTCAGGAATATGTTGCTGCCTATTATAACGAATATAGTTCCATGACCACCAAAGAAATGTGCGATGTGGCCAATGATAACACCACCTTCAAGACTGCTGAAGAAGCAGAAAAGCGGGAGGCAGAAGACAAACGTGTCCCTCCGTCCACAATTTTAATTATCGGTGCAGGCTCTCCGCCATGCACTCATTTGCTACCGTATCTGGCGATTCACGGTCTGTTTAGTCCCAATGAGTACATTCAACTAGATTTGTACGATGATAGTAATCTCGAACATGTATCTTATGTTGTTGAAACACTGCAGGATACACCATGCAAAATGCTCGTTGNCGATCTGGTACCAAGTTTGAAAGTAGCTAAACAGATCATAATCTTAGATGTGGTGCCTCGAATTAAACTGAGTTGCGAAGATTCTACAATTTTGCACAACAAAACATCAGAATCAGAAGTAAAAAGCTTAGAACCGAGAGATCAGTGGCTTAGACGGCGTTATTCGTTCTTCACCTCGATTGGACTCTTGGCGCAGACGCATTGCCCTAGTAACGTCCGTATTCTGGTGACTGGAAATCCAGGTTTGGACACTTCCTCAATGAAAATTGCCAGCCCGATCAATTTTGATGTTGCCGTCTTACACAAGGCTGCTTCCCCACGTATATCCACGAGACAAATAGTGGGACTGGTTGGTCCACTCGTTCAACGTGTTAAGGCATCAGTTGCAAACAATCTTCATGTGTCTACACATGACATTGTAGATGTGATTATTTGGGGCAATGTTGGAGGTCGAACGCATATAGATTTGTCTAAGTCACGCGTGTACCGTCGTCGAGGGGCGGATGTTGGATTAACGGCCGGTCCATGGTACTCAATGCCCACAACAGATGCATTCAGGGACTTGGAATGGCCCAGTGAAGAAATGGCGCGCGACGTCTTCGAGGATCGGTCGGCTTTTGTACCGCGTTATCGGGGTCTGAGCCACGCACAGTCTATAATCACCTTTCTACGAGGATGGTGGACGGGTGACTTTACCACTAAAGACCAGATCATCTCTTTGGTGGTTGCTTCTGAAGGTACAGTCGAAAGTTTTTACGTGTAACAAGTGGTTGTTTCGAATTTTTAAGGTAAACATCGCTTATTATTTTGGCTACGCCAGCATATGCTTAAGCTTATCAGTATCAGGCTCTGAGAGCGTAGACTGTTCGTTATACGAGATTAGGGGAAAACGCCAGAAAATGAGTGCACCATATTACAAAAGATTAACATTTTTCGGCATCAGTGTTTTCTGTTATCCGCTCGTATGAAACTCCGTCCGTGTTTCATATTATACTAACGATTATTTTTATCAACATGAATTAAGTGGAGAGCGTTTGATAGTACATTACAAAATAGTTTCGAGGCTGTTGGACCAAAAAGTTATATCTGACTATCACGTCTAAACAGATTTAAATCGGTAGTTCTGGTCAGCTCCTACGCGAGCTGGTCGGTACTGTGATGGCATATGCCCCCCATTTACAAGGCCCAAAATTCAAACCCCCATGGATCTACATAGACAAGGCTTAGTTAAAGTAAAACTTTAGTCTTACTAGACTGAGTAACGTGGGATAATCGATCACAATCGAAACGGTATCACTTATTTTAGACCACGGTCGGAATGTTTGTGAATCCAATCACGGAAGTTTGATAAATGTCGAACACTTTGCATTTCCTATTTCACTTAAAGGTGGACTGTGCTAACAAGTGCTCTTACCACATTCGGTATGTGCTTTGCACCTTCGAAGTGCAAAGTGATGCTGAAAGACGGTGTCGTCTAGACTCGCTTCGAAGTTAAATGGCCAGAAATTAGTTGCACTGGATTGCATTTCCTACTTATCTGACTGTGACTAATGACGATAGCGCTGCAAAGGAGATAACCGCCCACATCTCCAGCAGCACTAAAACACCTTTGCGAGTAGAACATATGCATCGACTAGAAGTTTTCGATTAGCACTGTCTACCTAGTTTAGCCCACGTGGGATGGAGCGAACGGGTTAGTTATCTAAAGGTAGACCGTCGTGTGTTTGGTAATCTATCAGGTTTAAACCTGTTGGCACACGGAATTCAGATTAGTAGACTTCGCTGGCACGTACTGCATAAGCCTGATAAAATCTGCCTCGGTAATTTTGCCTGATCGGACATTTCCTTTCAGTTACTCATTCACTGTGAATCTATCTACGTATTTCAGAGTGGTACGGAATACCGAAGGGAGTGGTCTTCTCGTTTCCCGTAATTCCCTCCTCTACCTCCAGTTGGACCGTGGCGGAGGATGTGGAGATCAGTCAATCGATCGCCAAGGAACTTGAAGCTTGTGTAAAGGTAAACTCAGGATCATCCGTATCGCACAACTGCAATTCACAATGAAGCATCCTGACCATTTATGTAACCAAAATGACCTTTAAAGTATTGTTCGCACCGTGAAAAGCTCAGTACCCCCGTAAGGATTCGAACCCACGCATGGACGCCGCCTACGCTTCACGCATGGGTTCGAATCCCACCGAGGTTACAGAACTTTACACACTCCAAACAACACTTATACCTGCCAACAACAGCTTTTTATTGTCAAGCCAATAGCAGGTTTTCCGTTTCCAGCATTAGAACTACATTCAGCTACAGTAATTAAGCAACGGTTCACAACGATGTCTCACTGGTCAAGTATTTTGAGCCATAGCTTGCTGACACTTCGTCGTTTTGTTTTTATTTTTATGTAGTATTATTAGCCTTGACATACTGATATTTACTCTCCTTTTATCCCCTCATTGTCGAGTCTGTACTTTCAAGCTAGTTGAATTCATTGCAAAACAGCACTAAGTAACATGGCACCCAAGCTCTTTGTTGTTGGTTGTTAAAACTGAACACATTCTTACCACTTGTTGAGACCTTTTCATTTTTCCCGATCAGCAAACATTTTTGTAGAAGTTAAATTCATCGTGTGAATTGAATACGAAAGCCCCAGTTCCACCGAAAGCGAACCAATTCCCGTGATTGCCTAACGAGATAGTAGTAGTGCGTCTTCTAGAGTATCTGGTGGGGAAATCCCGGTCTGAACCCAGAAAACTAACTTGATTGGGCAACACGGACACGTGAACAACGTTTGATCGTTTCCTGGTCCCCAAGAGACTATCGTCCCAGTCTTATGTGTAAGGCTTCGGCTAACCAAATACTCACCAGAAAACGGTAGCAATTTCGCGTCCACGAACGAATCTCGGGCAAGTTTTCATTCCTTAGAAAATCATGTTGTAATAGGATCGGCACAGTCGTTAATACGACAATAGGAATTTCTCGGGTGAGCGACTTGTTAAATCTAGGACAAATACCAGTTCGATACACAAACCGGATTTCTCAGATCCTTTTACCTGAGTGATATGTTCAACTACATTGTACGTCCTGAAATATCTTTACCACGCGAGCAATGAAATTCAATCTCATGTAAATTTCCACCTTACTAATTACGTTGTTCATATATGTATATTGATCATGGCATTCCCTTTCCCCGTATAGGATGTTCTTGAAGATTGGGCTGTCGTCGATCCGAATCCGCTCGAGATATTTCTAGAGAGTAAGAAAGGTATGTCATCCTAAAATTACCATCTTCATTTTATTCATGATGTAGCAGCGGAAAATGAAGCTAATTTTGCCGAACAATAATTACGACTAGTGTAAAAATTACCTGAGGAAATTTTCAAACAATCATTCATTGCATTTATTCTGCACGACATCACCATTAATGTGGATCCAGCCTGAGTTTTAAAAGAAACCGATCGGAATTCACATTTGCTTGATGAATACTGTAGGCCGAAACCTCAATTAGGTCATGCTGTTCACTCGCGGTGGGATCGAAATGAAACTGTGAGCACCGGTTGTCTTTATCTGATATAGCTCTTAGATTCGGACAAATTTTTCAGCCCGTGTTATTGCTACGATCGTTGCACCGATATAATGTGCGCCTGTTGCCGTAATTTAGCTATTTTATTTGATATAGAATCATTTGATTGCGATCGTTCACTTGTCTATTCGTCTGCAGCAAAGACATAGCGACACTTATGTCTCATTTCCCTTACAGTTCCCACAAAGCCCGAGGAAGAAATTTCCCAAGCCGAAGAAGAGGAAGAAGAAGAAGAATTTCCATCAAAGTGATGGAAATTCTGACGCGATTGTTTTCAGATGATCGTTGCCAACGATCAAACAGATAAAGAACAAACTGAGATAATGAAAAGTAGAAGCACAAATAAATTGGGCATTTAAAACGCATTTTTCTAATCCCGATTGGCGAATGAAAGGCGAAAATGAGTTACGCTGATCAGATCAGATAAGCCACGGGAAAGAAAATATAGGCCACTTGTCATGAATCACAGTATCATGCGAAAATTGTAGGACAAATGCGGTTCAGCTGTATTTTAAATATAAGACAAGCAAAGCGAAACACCTAGCGCCCCACGGGTTGATCGAAGCGTTGGGCAACATCATGAAGGTTCAGTGAACTTTGCGGCTGATCTTCTTGGATTTGTCGGCAATCGGCGGCGGTGGATAATTAGCAGCCACTTGGCGATCGAAAAGGCTAAAGGACAGGAAAGTATTGTCAGTTCAAACGCATATGATATCACCTAGAAGGGGAGAGTTATGAAGTGTTATGCTATCCAACAATGTGAAATAAACCGTATGAAAAATTGGAAAATACACGGGACAAACGACAAATTGAGCAACTTGTAGGTTAGGTTCAAAAGTCGATAAACACTGTTATTTACTGCGAGGTTCGAAGTTTACCGGATATTCTCGAGTCTAGTTATCAGAGGTAGTAGATCTTTTAGCTAAATCTTGGGATTATTCGGTGCATGTGTCTTTGATGCTCGAGTGCGAGAAATAATGATAAGGAACAGCACCGCTAATTATTTTTATGTGATGCGGAACTTTTCGTCTATTAGCACAATGACTTGGGACTTGTTACTAATCTTTTATGAGGTAGCATTGTAACAAACGATCCTCTATGTGAGNCTATGTGAGCCAAATTGGTATAAAGATCATCTTAGTCGACTTGTATTCGCGTTCGTACAATGAGACTCAGTATGTTTGGAGGTGAGTGTCTCGGGCAGCTGGCCACCCATCAATTACACATATATATATATATATATATATATNTATATAACGATGAGTTCCTGAATGGCATCTCGCCTTTTTGTACGGCAGCGTTCCACGAACAACTGGTGGTGGTAAGGGTTCATGTCGTGATCCAATCACTCCATGGTCGAACTAGAGACCGAGTGTACGCCTAATCTTCAAACGTGCGACTTTAGTGTTTGACCATGTTTCAAACATCATCCAAGCCCTCCGCTTCACTTTCAGTGAAATAAAAAGAAAAGGTGCTTGTTTCGGGAACCCAATGGCCGGGTGCCGTATGCTGTGATCAAGGCACTGGATACGATGGAGCTGAAGTTCCTCCAACAGCTTTTCGGGGTTTATCGTAGTATAACATCTTTGCTGTAAAGCTGATCACTACAAACGATGAGCATTCGATGTAGACGCTAGTATTTGAGTAAGTTCAATCATCTTGTGTATTCAGCTCATAAAGGACAATTTTCGCCAGAGTGGGACGTATAGCCGTGTTAGAGATACAGAGTTATGTCCGCAATCTGATGTATTTACTCGACCGTAATGTTTGTCTTACTTGCAATAATGCCGTCAATTTTCAGAACGATCTCATATATTGCTTCGTAGAGTCTAGACATTTTGATGATATAACTTATTCAGGCAGACAACCATTAACACGACACCTGGAATCCCAAAGTTGTAAAATGCCTCGTCTTTGTATTGTTTATAAAAAGCTGGATGGGATAGAGACTTGGCTATACGGGGGTATCTTTTTGTGCAACGCATTTCTCCGTACGTTCGAATTCAGTTGGACACCGCGGTAGTCAGCGGGCGCTCTCATTTTTACCCAATCTATTTCTTAGTTAAATGACCATAGGAAGAGCGAGTAGCCTTGTCGTATTACCGAACTTATTTCGCATTCATAGTGTAAACAAAGGTACCGGCACCATGCTTGTCTACAAGCC